TTTTTAGTAATAAATATTATTATTTTATGATTTTATTATGTGAATTTTTTTAAAATACATATATTTTTATAAATGCACACCATCCGTAAATGCACACATATGTTCGGTCCCAAGGGGTGCACTTAGAGAGAGTTGACTGTAATTATTAATTTTAAAAATTAAAAAAATACTATTAGATGTATTTTAATATAACAAAACTAATAAACTTTATTTCATTTTTTAAATATTATAAGTTTTCTAAAATGGTTTATAAACAATTTTATACTTGGATAAGAATTAAAGTTCAAGAAAATCAAAATTTGAAAGAATTGATTCAAACTTAACGACTGATTATTTTTAAAAACAAATGATTCTTAAGATTATTATATTAGCAATATATGATAATAAATGCTTTAAATAAAGCTTATTATTATGATTTTATAAATAACTAAATTCAAGCACAATAATTACAATTTAAACCTTTTGAAACTCTTTAGTATTATTTCTTCCTTATATATTATGCAATCATCTCTTTCTCATTTCTTTAGAATATATTTATTTCATAGGATAATAAAACATTATACCGCATATTGTTAAATAAACTTTTCTCTCTCTCGTTAATTGTTGATCATCTCTGTTACTCTATCAATCAATTTCTAAGATAAGGACCTTTACCTTGTGTTGGATATCTCGACATGGACTTAAAAAATACAAGACATCCTCCAACAATTTTTCAACCGAGACAAATATTGTTTCCTTTATTAATAAAAGAATTTGATTTGTTTAAACTTGATGTGATACAAATTAAAAATAGCAACGATATTAGTAAAAACGATTCTGATGAGGATCTTAAAAAAAAAAAAAAAAAAAAGTTTTTCTCCTTGGAAAAATTTTTATAAAGGTAAGAATTTTTTTAGGGTGGTATTATTTATTTTATGTTTCTATGATTTAAAAAAAAATTAGCATGTATTACCTAAGCGTTTTTTATAAACGAATGTTGAATACTCTTATTCTGAGAAAAACATAAACGCTAGAACTAATATTTGTTAAAACCGTATATTGAGAAAATAACTTACACGTGATTAAATTAATCGCAGATGCAAAAAATTTACGCTTTCGGTTATAATTCCTTTCGACAAACAAACCCGGAAAGCGATGATGATATTATAAGTACTCCGTGCGATATTACAGAGGGTATACAATGCGATAATATCATTTGGTCTAATATGAGTTCAACTTTGGGCAGAAATAACAAGTTAGTAAAAAATCTCATCAATTCTTAGTATTTTAATATCTTTCTTGGCTTACTCATAAAAGATCTAATTTATTTTTTAGTGAAGGAAAATTGATATATTGGGGTTTCAATGATACAGAAAGTAAAGTTGTACCACCCACTTCAATGATTAACTTTTCTGCGCAGAATCTGGTAAAATGTTTTGGGGATGATAATGGCATTCAGGGATATCTAGACGTAAATGGAAATCTTCATGGACGTGCTGAAAATATTTTTAAATTTTCTGCAAAGTGTGTTGACGTTGATCAAATGTGGACCGGGAATAATGTAATTGTCGTAACAGGTACATAATATGATATTAGGAAGTTACCTTTTTACTAAAAAAAAAAATCAAAAAAAAAAATACTATTTCAATCAAGAGGATGGAAAGTTATGGAAATTAAATTTAAAAAATAATGAAGAACCAAATGAAATAAGACTTTCTGATGAAAGCGATAATTTAAATACATTTTTCGTAAATGTTGTTTGTGGAGAGAACCATTGTTTGGCGTTAACTAAAGATGGAGAAGTGTATAGCTGGGGATCTGGAAGATTTGGACAGCTTGGACATGGAGAATTAACAGATTCATTAGAAAAACCCACGGTAATTGAATTTTTTCAGGGATTGCGAGTGAAAAAAATTTCTTGTGGAGGATGGCACTCAGCTGTAATTACTGGTACGTAGTATATCTATAGAATTATTTGCTTTTAACTTTTTTCTTCTGTGAAACTTCAACTTTTATACAATTACGAAGATTCGGATGATTTATACACTTTTGGATGGAATCACTTTGGGAGGTTGGGAATTTTCTTTGAAGAGAGTTCAACAGTGAATTGTGCTGAACCTTCGCTGGTTGAGTTCTTTGGAGAGGATAACGAGGAATTGAATGTATTGAAAGTGGCTTGTGGCAGCGCACATACTGTTGTTATTACTGGTAACGTAAAGGCGAAGGAATGGTATTAAAAATAAATATATTATGTAAATTATGATATAAATGACTTACATGTATTCGTTTTAATTCGAAATAGATGATTTTAGATTATGGAGTTGTGGATGGGGTATGTGACCTATATAAATAATCAGATATTAAATTTTTTATTTTTTTGGTTCAGGTGTAAATCTAATATATTTTTATAGGAAAGTATGGACAGCTGGGTCTAGGCGCTGATAAACTGAATGATAATTATAAATTCGTTCCAATAGATTCGACTGATTTAAGAGATAAAAAAGTTTTAAATTGTTCATGTGGTCGTTGGAATACTTTTCTTATTGTAGATTGATTGTTATTAAGCTAAACTTTGCTTATGTCGACTGTGACATCATATTCATCATCATATAGTATTATTTATAAGTATAGAGTTTATTTTGACTTAAATACTATTCATTGTCGATCTTAGCTTCCAGTTACTCGTTTTTCTCAAAACAAATAAAAACTACCAAGATTTTCTTTTATATTCCAAAAGATTCAGATATGGTTCTTCGTGGAGAAAGAGGTTGCTTTCCGCAATTCTGCGGACGTGGAAAAAGTCCTATTAATGATAGAAATAGAAATTCACAACAAACTTCTGAAAATAATGATCCTCAAACGAGTTCATCTGTCGTTACTGACACAACTACAATTAACAATCTTCATGAAGAAGTTGATATTATCGTTGAAGAACCTTCGGTTGCACCTCCTACACCATCATCATTAACATCAACAACTCCTGCATCTGTTGATCAACAACATCAGCCGGCACAACAATCGCGACGTATTATTATTAAACCTTTATGGGATATTGAAGATGAAATTGAACTTGTTAATTATGTTTGTGACAATTACGAATTATTGAGTAATAACAGAAAATTATTCTGGAAAGAATTTAGTAAAGAATGTAGACAAATTCTCCTTTATCCAAAATCTATCTATTCTTGTAAATCCAAATTTTATGCGCTTGTCGCTCATCATCAAAATGTTGATTTATATGATGCGATTGAAAGATATCTTGATCTGAAGGAAGGTTTTGTCTCTTCAAAACGTTTACCTATGTTACCATGTATAAAAGAAGAGGAGGAAGAAGAAGAGGAGGAATCTCTTTCAACTACTTCCACTAGTTTTGCAATTCATGAAGAAACTAGTTCGTTTTCTTTTCAAAAGAAATCTTTACGACCAGCTGCAGTAGCAGCTTCTTCAAATAAGCCTCTGGCCAATATCTTATTACCAAAAACTTCAGGTGAACTAACTCGATCTACTTCATCGCAAGCGGTGGTTCTTGCCAAAACTTCTTTGGAAACCAATAAGGTAGCAGATCCGAATCCAAGAGAAATATCCCTCTCAGTATCGCCACAACACAATATTAGGTCCGAAGACGATGATCGTAGATCAGGAACCACTTCTCCTACAAATAATTCATATCCACCTATTCAAGAAAGCGTGTTTGATATTTTACCAGCAGATATTTCTCAATCGGCTGTTTCCAATTATGATAATCATGCGGCATCATTGACAACTGTTCCTTCCACCTCTTATAATGATTTCACTTTTTATATAGAAAATATTCGCCAGCAAATCTTTGCCGCTCAAGATTATTTAATCAGGGAAAATTCTCGAGCTGAAGATCGTATTGATTCGTTTAACCAGTTTCATCATCTTTTCATCCAATTGGAAAATCAATTGCAGAAAATGATGATGAAAGAATTGTAGTTAAGAGGATTTGTTATTTTATTAGTACCCAACAAAAAAAAAATTCCTATTTTATTAGGATTTCGAATTATCATCAGCTTTATGGCGTTATCACAAGAATTATATTAAATATTTAGAACGATTTCGTGTAATAATGTGTAATAATGAAAACCTCAGTATTAAAGGTTAATTATCCTATAAATAATCTATATATTGTGCATCTGAAATTGTAAACTATCTATTTATATTTTTATGTACATACTCGTTTTTTATTACACATTCATTTTGGCTAATGAATTAAAGATTCGGTTAAACCTTTTGACGAATTCTTAATCTAGCTTCATCTTAAGAACTCCTAAACAATTTTGCGGCCAAACTCAAATTTTCTTAAGCTAGTTTTGCCCGAATAATTGGACTGAATTTTAATTATTAAAACTTTATCATTATTTTCGCTAATTCTTTAAAGGAGCATTATAGGTGTTTTCTTTAAAAAAAATTAAATAAAATAAGGAAAGTTAGATTTTAACTGAAAATTAAAATTAAATCAGTTGTTTCAATAGTTTTTACAAATAAAATAATATTAAATTTAGAAATATTTGAGTTTTATTTATAATAACCATCTTTTTTTGTATTGTTAATATTTAAATCCTACTTGTTAAATTTTACATTCATCATAATCATCCAATAATCTTTAATTAAATTAAGAATATGAGCTATATAACAATTATGCTCAAGTTGTAACATTAAAGAAAATAGTATTTCTATATAAACTTTTTTCATATATATTACATCATCACTAATATAAAAATAATATTTAAAAAAGAAATATATTGTAAAAATAATTAACTGGAAATAGTAATATAATTAATATTATCTAAAAAATCAGTTTTTACTAATTTATTTGATCTTAAAAACTAAATAAAATATTAATAATTTCTTTAATAGTAATAAAAATATACTAATTTTAAATTAAAAAATTTTAAGGTAAATAATAGTTAGTTAATTGATTTTATTTCAACAACTTTTATAAATTAATTATATTAAAAGAAAAAATAATAATAAATAATAGTATAAAAATATAATTTACCTTCTATTTTTTTAAAAAATTTAATAAATTTATTCATTTTTTCAAATAAAATATTGGTTTTTATAAAAGTTTTAGTCAAAACTAAATTAATATTTATTTTTTTATTATTTTTGAATAATTATTTTTATTAGATAAATAAGTATTATATTATTTTTATTCTGTGTGATATAAATTTAAAATGATTATCTATAGTATATTTTTAGTTTATTAATATTGTAATCATCAAAATTCAAATTTACAAATATATAATATTTTTAAATTTAATAGCTTTAATAAAAGTTATATCTGCTTAATATGTTTTTATTATTCACCATTAAGAGAATTTATTTTACAAATTAATTTTTATTTATTCAAAAATCTTTAATTAATTTACTTTTCTTTATATTATTATTTTCTTTATTTAAATTCTTTATTATTATTCTATCATATATTTCTGAATATAATCTTTTTTGTTATTTATTTTCTATAATTTGATAATTTTAATCTTCAAATATTTTTTTATTTTTTAATTATTATCCTTATTATTTTTTTTTTTATTATTTTTATTTTATGAAAAATAATTATTTATTAGTAATATATAAAAACATATTAATAAATACTATACTATTCTGAAATAAGCATTTTGTAATATATTTATTTTTGGTAATTTTTTAGTTATCACATATATTTTATTATATTATTTATTACATAATGTTTTTTTTTGGAATGGTATGATATACTATTTTAATATAGTTTCATTTTTTTATTATAAAATAGATATATTATTTACATAATAAAAATTACTATTCATATTTATATTAATTTAATATTAATTAATTTGTAGATTATTCATTTTTTTTCTTAATATTTCTAATTTTTATTTTTTTATTAATAATTTTTAATTCCTATTTCTTCTATTAATAATTCTTAATTCTATTCCTTTATTAATATTTTTTAATATTATTCATTGCTTCACTATTATTTTTTATCTTTACATTATATTTATTTTTAGATTTTATTAATATTTTTCCTTATTATTAATTCTAATTTTTATATTAATTTTTGTTTTTAATTCATTTTTCAATTCTAATTTTTATTTTCTTTCTTATTTTTTTTTTAATATTTTATATATTTATTTTTGATTCTTCTTTATCATTCTAAAGATCATTACCTATTTTTATTATATATTAATATAATATTATCATTCTCAATCTTTTTTTATTATTCTAAAGATTATCACATATTTTCATTATATATTAATATAATATTATTATTTTTATTTTAAAATATTTTTTTCTTTCTTATTTTTAATAATTATTCTTTTATTCTTTTTTATTTTTTATGCTTATATAATATTCTTTTTTTTTTTTCTTCTTTTCTATATATTTGCATTTTTTGCTTTATTATTTCTATTAATTTCCTTTTGAAAATACAAGTTATATAAGTATTTTATGTTCTTATTTTATTATTTTATATTTGAGCTTTATATAATCTTTATATATATTTATAAGTTATATTTTTTCTTCTTTTATTCCAAAAGTTTATTTATTAATTTTTTCTTTACAAACTTAATAATTTGTTCTTATGTCTTATGATCTACTAATTCCTATAATAAGTCTATATCATATAATTTATTCTTATTTTATTTTACATAATTCATATTTTATATATGATTTTAGTTAATTACTTATTTATTATCATATAATTTAACTTTATCTTGTATTATATAATTTACTTATATTTTATAATATACTTACATTTTTTATCATATAGATTGCCTTATATTTTGAGTTATGTAATTTACTATTGGTATTTTATGATTTTGGTTAATAATTTATCTATTATGATTTTTGCAAATTATTTTTTTATTATATCTTTTATTTAATTAATTATCTTTCAATTACTAGAAATATGATAATAAAAAGGTCAAAAACTTGTATAAACTGATAAATATCAAGAAAAATATTTCAACATTTCTTTTTTTAAATTTTCAAATAAATGGATAGACTGTTTTAAAAGCTATTATGATCTTTTAAATTATTAAAAAACAACAGTATTTTAATATCTACCAGAAGATTTACTTGAAAAATAGCAAAGTTTTTGAGTTTTATTCTTTATAGAAGAATATAATATGATTACCCACTTCAATTTATTAGAAATATAATTGAAATACTTGTAGCTTTTGATTTATCTAATTCATATACTTTAGAAAAATGCAGTTTTAATATTATTAATATTAAACTACTATACATGAAAGAAGCATATTTACAGTTGTTTTGAGTTGTATAGCTGATGGATCAAAATTGCCATTTATTGTTATTTTTAAATTAAAGAATATACCTAGAGAAATATTTCCTAGTGATATATTTGTAAGGGTAAATATAAAAGGATAGAATTAATAAAATAAAATGATGTAGTAGGTAAAAAATATCTGGTCTAAAAGAACTATTGACTCCTCTAATCCTAACTCACTACTTATTTTAGATTCTTTTAGTTGATATTATTAAACAAAAATTACATAAAAAAGCAACTAATATGATAGTAATTCCTAATAGATTAACATCTAAATTGTAATCTCTTGATGTATCAATTAACAAAAGCTTTAAATCTAATGTAAGTATTATTAATTAATTTTATTTATTTTTATATATATTATTATATAAATTAAAAGGATATTTAATTTAATAGATTCATGAATTTTATAATAAGTGGATGACAAATAAAATTTATAAGTTAACTTCATCTGAACATACTAAAAAATCTTTATATTTTTTGATATATTATTTATGGGTAAAAGATGCATAAGAAAAAATTGATACAAGTTTGATTTGTAGATTATTCAAATGTTATAGCATTTCAATTAAAACTGATAGTTTTGAAAATGACATAATTTTTGATTATGATAGTCTTATAATAGATAAAGAAAATAATAAATTAATTGAAAATAATAAATTTAAAGAGGAGGATTATAATAATTAAAATGAATTAATTTTGCTAATATTTAAATAAATAATAAAGTCTAAATAAAATTTTGTATTTGATAAATAAATATCATAATAATATCTTAATTACATGATTTATATAATTTTATAGTTATTTCTAATTAAAACTAAAACACCCCTATGTAAACTATCTGAGTTTTTATAAAATTTTAGCTCAAAATTTTAAGGAATATTTTATATAGAAAGAGTAGTTTAATCAGTGCTCTATAGTAGTTAAATCTAACTAAAAGTCAAATCTTAGTGAATATAATTTATAATACTAAATGGTAAACTTCTGAGTAAATATATAAGATAAGTTACAGTTACTAATAAGTAACTAGAATTTAGTTTAAAGTATTATGTAGAATTTCTCTTAAATAGTTCTATTATCATAATTAAGTTTCAAAACAATTTCAAAAAAAAAATTGTAAAATAGTATATCACATAACTTTATCAAAGAAAAAAAAATATTATAAAGAAATTATAATATTAAAAGATTAAGAGACTTTGTTCTTGATATTCTAAAATCCAATTTGCTAACTCATTTTTTAAATCTAAAAAAATGGTTATCTACCTTTGTATAACTTTAATAAATAAGGTATAGAGACTTTAAACTGGTCTTTTTTCTTCCTCTAATCACGAATTTAGTTTAGCTGTAAATTAAAATGTTTTGCATTAATACAAACACTATTTAAACTATTTAAAAAATGTAAAACTATTAACTTTTTACAAACTAACTAATTTCTTATTTTTTAAGAGTAAATCTATAACGTTTAGTACTTTTATTTACTTTAACTATTCTTAATAATAAAATATAATATAAAATGTGAAATACATTACAAAAAATAGAATATGATAATGCTAAAAAAATCATATATATTTATGATTTATATAATTTAATCAAATCACCCTCCTTTTTACAAAGTACCATCTGATTAAATCACTCAGGTATTTTGCAAATTCATGAGTGAATT